TAAACCCTGCATCCTAAACTAGGGTAACTCGGGTTAGTTGGGTTTAGGGTTTAGGGTTCAGGGTTCAGGGTTTGGGGTTTAGGGTTTAGGGTTAATTGCCCTCACGTTGCCAGTGTTCTGAATCAGGTTGAAGAGACATGTTTTGCTTTGTGGGAGCTGTGCCTCACCTCGCGTCTGAACCCCGGCAACTCCTGAACACACGAGAAGAAGGCTGAGGCCAGGATCCTAGATATGTTTTTTCTGAAGGTTTCGTCTTTACAGCGAAAACGGGCTTTGTAAGGGCTTAGGGCTTAGGGCTTAGGGTTTAGGGTTCAGGGTTCAGAGGGTTTAGGGTTTAGGGTTAGGGTTTAGGGCACAGGGTTTAGGGTTTAGGGCACAGGGTTTACGGTTAGGGCTGTGAAGGGGTCTGCCTGTGCCCACACTCCGTGCAGCATGGGCGAGCCGCTGATGCACCTTCGGACGGCCTTCCAACAGTGTCTCGGAGAGGCCCCTGACTTGGTGTAGCTTCGTGTGAGGAGTTTGTGTGTAGGGTTGCAGTCTTGGCAACCCAATTGCGTGTTGTACACGTATCTGGTACCTCTCTATATACATAAAAAGACTTGTATGCACAATATGTGATGCCTGTGGTTATTATGTTATAAGTACATATATATATATATTTATATCTAGATGTATACATATACATATATATATATATCCACGATGTTTTATGTGTGGCCATATTGATGGTACGACTCACAGGATGATTCCATTATGCCAGTGGTTGCAGCAATGTCTTTGGGCAAAGAAACTGGATTGGAGGTTGGATTTACTTGGCGTTGGGGGTCTCTTCCATAAAACGTGGTAGGGAGGTTGAAAAGCAAAAACCTGAGCTCGAAGCCCAAAACCTTGGTGGTGTGATCCTGCATGCCCGAAGTGGTGAGTGAGTCTAGTCAGGGTGACCTGAAGCCTTTCCTGCGGTGTGGGAGTGCGAGCAACGTAACCCCAAACCCCAAACCCAACCCCAGAATCCAAACCCCAAACCATGAACCATGATTAATGCGAAGAAAAAAAACTGGACCCTAAACCCCAAGCCACAAAGCCGCACCCAAGTGCTAGGCGGGTGGCAAAAAGCACGTAAACTGCCCAGCAAAACAAACTTGGTAGGCCAGTGGTACCCTTTACCCTTTCTTTGGGTTCTGGGTTCCCTTATGAAGTACCCAACCCCAAAAGGGTGCCCTTATCATAATATGGTTACTGGGCTACCAAGCAAAAACACCCTAAGACCTCAACCCCAAACCCCAACCCCTAAACCCTACAAACCCGAAACCCTCTGAACTCCAAAACCCCCAAGCCCCAATCCTTAAATCCTGTAAACCCTAAACCCCAAACCCTAAACCCTAAACCCCAAACCCCAAACCCTAAACCCTAAACCCTAGACCCCCCTGAAACCCTTCCTTGCTTTGCAAGGCCACCCAGGAAGCTTCGAGGTGTATCGGCCTTGCGGTGAACGCCTGGGGCCCTGTGCCCCAAACCCTAAACCCTAAACCCTAAACTCCAAACCTTCAACCCTAAACCTTAAACCCTAAACCCTAAACCAAACCCTCAACCGTAAACCCCAAACCCGGTAGGGGGGGGGGGAAACGAAACCCCAGACCCTGAACCCTTTTAACCCTCAAACCCCAAAACCCTCAAACCCCAAACCCTGAACCCCAAACCCTAAACCCTAAACTAAACCCCAAACTTTGAGCTCACGAGGTCGGCGATGCAGTAGTCGGGAGCCCAAGTTGCTGTAAGAGCGGTTCCCGGACGCCTGGTGCATGGAAGCAAGGGTTCGAGGTTTAGGGTTTAGGGTTTCGGGTTTAGGGTTTCGGGTTTCGGGTTTGGGGTTTAGGGTTAGGGTTTAGGAACCCCCCCTTCAACGCGAAACCATAAGCTTCCGAAACACCCTAAGCCTTGATCCCTAAACCCTAAACCCCACACTCTAAACCCGAAAAACCTAAACTCAGCCCTAATCCCTAAACTTGCTGTTGCAGAGAGTGCTTGCTGACACCCTAAACCCTAAACCCTAAACCCTAAACCCTAAACCCTAAACCCTAAACCCTAAACCCTACACTCCCTTTTCATGTTCAGGCCGAGGCAGTGAATCGCGCCGCCGCGCCGAAACTGCCAGCAACTCAGGGTTCCGGGTTTAGCGTTACAAGGGGTTTAGGGTTTGGGGTGTAGGGTTGAACACGAAAGGTTTAGGGTTTAGGGTTTGGGGTTTGGGGTTTAGGGTTTCGGGTTTAGGGCTTCGCGCTGAGGTTGCTTGCTGACTTTCTGTCTTGGCCGCACTTACTTTCTAGCATAATTGCATCATGCCAGCTAGCTGACTTACAGAGTCTGGGGTCAAAAAAGTCTTTCGAGCTTAGGGTTTAGGATTTGGGGTTTAGGGTTTCGATGTTTCGGGTTTTCGGGTTTATTATTTTATGAGGTGGGAGGTGGCAACCTGGCAGTTCTTCTTTTTGGCGTCGATTGTTGCTCGTTTTCTTTATATTTATATATCTATATCAACCTATCTGCATGTGTACACACACATCTATATAGATATATATACATATATCCATATATATATATATATATGGAGATAATCAAGGGTTCCCGAAACCAATAAACCCTGAAAGGAACAAAGTGGGCATTCGCGAGGAACCTAACCTTCACAGCATCTACGCTTCATCACAGCAAACCCGAAACCCGAAACCCGAGACCCTAAACCCTAAACCCTAAAACCTAAACCCTAAACCCTAAACGCTAAACCCTAAACCCTAAACCCTAAACTGCCGAGAGCGCCGCTGTCCATTTACAGGGGCGCTCGAGGCTTCGACCGAGGTCCCCGACCGAGCATCCCCACAGAACGGTGAGGGAGGGTAAAGCCTCCCTTCTAGACACCCTAACCCTAAACCCTAATCCCGGACCCTAAACCCTAAAGCCTAAACCCTAAACCCTAAACCGTAAACCCTAACATCGATCACCCGAGGCGTCAGCTTGTTGAGGAGCTTCTGCAACACTTGGGAATCCAGCTGGCTCAGCTGCGCGAGGAGACCGAAGGGTTTAGGGTTTAGGGTTGGATTGAAATTATTCAGGGTTCAGGTTCGGGGAAAGTTTCGAGGAAAGCTTCTAGGAAAGTTTCGGTTCTAAAACTTTTGAAAAATTTCAAGTTGCAGGGGGCTTGAGGGTTTAGGGTTTAGGGTTTTGTCGCGCCCCCCCCCCCCCCCCCCCCCCCCCCCCCCCCCGTCCCCGGGCCTTCGCATTTTTTAGTACGCACTGAGTATGCAGCCGGCATTTGTTGTGGCTACTTATCAGAGATGCCTCCCTTTCCGGATGCTGTAACATGTAGCTTAAAGTCTCCCCGGAGCCCGGCAGAAGAGCGCGTCTGTCAGCATGCAGGATGCCAATGCAAGCAGGCAGCCCGCCGGAACGTGCACTTGCAAACAACGAAGCCTTACGTCATAATTATGGGTTAAGTAAAGACTGTCCACACCCCCCCGCCGACCCCCCCCCCCCCCCCCCCCCCCCCCCCCCCGGACGTACAGACTCAGGACTATTTGGGGGGGGGGGGGGGGGGTGCTTGCTGAAGGGGTTGTGGAAACCTGAAATAATCCTCATTTTCTGGCCTGTGGAAAGCATCCTGTTCATGGCTTTACGATCGTGATATTTATTGAACAGGTCGGCCCGGTTTACGTGGGATGAGAAAGTCAGGGTTTTCGCAACAAGGATATGCAAAACGCTCTGGGCTATTGCTGCAAGCTCAACACATGGCCTGGATGCGCAACCCTAAACCCGAAGCTACTTAGAACCCCGATTGCAGCGTAAAGCCAGCAAGACATGCTCAGCTCTATGATGCTCCATGGCATTCCACATCTTAACATTCGTCTGAGGCTTTCTTCGCGCCGGATTTTAATTTAAGGGGCTGAGAAGGAGCACAGCACGGATCAAGGCACCAGGTTGTGGGTTGCAATGGCTCTGTTCAACCAAAACCCCAAAGCCCCCTAACTCCCTCTAAACCATGGCCTAAGCCCTAAACCCTAAACCCTAAGTCCTCGAAAGCCCCGAATGGCCCTCGAAACCGCGAGCCCCAGAGCAACCCCCGCCACGGAGCCAGCGCCAGGTTAATGGAGCGGGCCATTCGCGCGGCCAGCAACAGCCCCTCACTCAGACCCTAAACCCTAAACCCTAAATCCTAAACCCTAAACCCTAAACCCTAAACCCCAAACCCCAAACCCTAAACCCTAAACCCTTCTATGGTTCGGGTTGAGGGTTTAGGGTTTGGGGATTCACACGCCATGACAGAACCTCGGTGGATCACAATTTAGAGAAAAATTAGCATATATGTGCAACGGCAGAGAGAGAGAGAGACAAAACATATGTGGTGTCGAGGTGGAGGGTATGTGTTTTATACACTAGAACAGCCTGTTTATGGGGATGGGGACAGTGCTCAAGCTTTAGCACTTTTGCGGGTTTTGTGGGGGGTGGACCTGAAAGCCATGTCCAGAAGTCTCCAAACAGATGCTGACAAGCTAAAGAGTTGCGTTTTTGGCGGAGGTCTAGCATTCATGGTTCAAAATGTTGGTCGTTTTGGCTGGGATACTTAACGGTTGGGTGGAGTTACAGCGCTACGCGGTTGTGGGATGTTGCGGCCGTAGGTGGCTCAAGCACCCTGTTTCACCACAGATTGGCGAGTCTTCTCGTCGGTGGCGCCTATGAAAAAACAACGGAGATGTGGCACAGCGTCCCGCAAACTTGAACCAGTCAGCAGTGCACAAGCCCGAACAACAAAAGCAACGAAGCCCAAGCGAAGCCCTCAACTCTAGACCCCAGAAATCCTAAACCCTCTCTAGGCCGTCAACCTTAACAGCGCCCTTCCCAAGTCAACCCCCCCCACCCCCCCCCAAAAAAAAAAAGAAAGACACGAGAAACCCCAATACCCTAAAGCCTCAACCCTGACCCCCCCCCCCCGAAAAAAAGGGGGGGAAGCGAAAGCCATGGGCGATGGATTCCAGCTTCAACTGCAAGCTGGCTCCTGGACCCTGGGGGGCCCCGCGGAGTCACGCGGACCTGGGCTCGGGTTAGAAGGTTTGAAGTTCATAGGGTCTAGGGCGTCAGAGGGTTTATAGGGTTAAAGGGTTTAGGGCTTACGCTTATAGGGCTTTTAACCCTATAAGTAGCCTATAAGGGTTTACCCTCCGCCCAGTGTTTATTTTCGATGAGGGCTGATTCCCTTTTCTACTCCGGGTTTCGGATCGTTTATTCCGAATGCCCAACATCCCCAAACCCTAAGCCCGAATACCCAAAATACCCAAAACACCCTAAACCCTACACCCTAAACCCTATACCTCAAACCTCAAACCCTACCCCCAAAGCATCCGACAGAGGCTGCACCTTGACCTGGTGAACGACTCAGGGCAGCCACTGGTGCTTCCTTTGGGGCACCTTCAGTCGCAAGAGGGTGTTTTAGTGTTTAGGCTTTAGGGTTTAGGGTTTAGGGTGTTTCTTGGGGCGGTTTACCGTCGTACTGCCCCCTGCCTAGGCGAGAGTCTTCAGAAGCTTACTGCAAAGCGGTTTACTCTTGGGACGACACGAACTCTGAAGGGGTTTCAAAGTGTCCATGTGCACTAGCATAGTAGGGACGATAGGAATACATATGGGGTTGATGATCCTCATCATGTAGGGTTCATTTGGTCCACAAGTTTGCCTGGAAAGCTTCCTCGCCCTCGGTTTAAAGCAACAAGTCTGGCAACACCTCAGTCTAAAGCAAAAAGTCTGAAAGTACAGAGAGGTTGCCACTTTTTGGGGAGCAGGGTGCCCAAACAGGAACGGCAATTTTGCAAACTGGACATCTATACGTTGAAACATGTGCAAGAAGTGCTGCGCCTGAAGATGCGCTCTGGGTTCTCTAGGTAGGTTTGGGGTTTGGGGTGCAGGGTTTAGGGTTTGCTTTTAGTGTTTAGGGTTTAGGGTTTAGGGTACGAACATTGCAGGCGAGGGGTGGGGGGTGGGGAGGCAAACGCCAAGGTTAAAGGGTTCAGATCACTATCGCACTGCAGTCCCTCCTCAAAAAAGACCAATATCGGTTTGGGGTTTCGGGTTTCTGGGACAAATGCCAAAACCTCCCGATCCTAGTTCAGCTTCAACCTACAAAAAGAGGGCTTGGGGGGGGGCGGGGAGGGAGGGGGGGTTCTTTCACCCCCACAGAAAAAAGGTGCGGGGTTTTAGGGGCTAAATTTTTCAGCCTAACACTATGAGGAGTTTCTCTTTGGGCACCGACGGGGCCACCGCTCTGGCTGCATGCCTCCAACTCCAGGCTCGGCGAGCAGATTAGGGGCACCCTTTGCGGGAATTCGCAGGAGTTCAGGATTTAGGGTTCAGGGTTTATGTTTATGGCTGAGGGTGGCAACAAGACGGGTTCGTAGGGTTTTGGGGGTTCAATGTTGGGCTTTATTTGTGCCTTTAGGACGAGGAGCAGATGAGCTATCATGAGCTCCTAAGCTCCTAAGCTGCAGGCCTCTTCTTCGACACCTGCCCAGATGCGCCTAGCCGCTAAGCCTAGGGTTTAGGGTTTAGGGTTTAGGGAAGTCCAACATTCGCAAGGCTACGACATCTGCTGGTGCATGCTTCGTGCTGGTGAAGAAATCGCACTCAAACCTGCACCCAAGTTCCTCCTGTAAGTTGAAAGCCTTGCCAGGATTTGGACGGCCACTGGACGCGGCCCCGACTGCTGCACCCAAGAGGCACCTCTTTCAAGGAGATGGTGATCTACCTCCCGCCGAAGACCCTTGCGCTTGACGTCTTGTAGTTTTTGCATGCCCATTGTAGGCAGGATTTGCTAAGCATGGTTTGTACAGAATGTTCCCATGGCTTCGTGATTCCCTGAGCAAGTTGTCATGAGCGCCCTCTGTTCTTCAGCTGCCTTTTCAGCTTCATCCTTGACGCCAAGCCGGGCTAAGGAAAGCCATCCAGGTGCCTATTGTGGGGCAGGTCCTGGATGTCGGGCGCTTTGGCGGCCTCGTGGTGCGCATCGGCGGCCAAGGCTCCGGTGCCTCGGAAGTCCTGCTGCCTGTGTGCGAGCGCCCGGCTGCGATCCCTCCAAACCCACGGCGGCTGCTCCGCTTCGCCCTGGAAGCTGAAGACCAAAGGTGCCTCACCGGCCCCATCTGCTGGGTGGGGCCCCACGAGCCCATCCACCCCTCCCCGCCCACCTGGCAGGGGGAGGTCCACACCAAGCCCTGTGAAGTGGTGGTGCGGCGGACACCTGTGCAGCCACCCACAGTGAAGGGCCACGTGCTGCTGCAAGAGCGCTGCCCACTTCGAAGGCCCCTCGTCTACCAGCACACCCTGGTGCCCTCCCTAGCCAACGCGCCCAGCTTGCACTTAAGAGCTGCTTCTTGTTCCTGCAGGGGACTTGTTCTCCAGTTTGGGGATGCTAAAATGACATGCAGCATTCGAGTACCGTGTATATATATATATATACGGAGAGAGAGAGGTGTGTTTTCAGTTTTTGCGTGTGCATGTGTGCGATTTTTCTTCCTCTTGCTTCCTCAGCAGCGGTCATCCAAGGCGCCCCGAAGGACCCAGGACCCGAAGGCTCCGAGTCGGAGACCGGGAAATCGGAGGCGCCTGCGCCGGAAGGCCCCCAGCCGCCCCACAGGGCGTCCCCAGTCTCAGGGGCTTATTGGCCAAGGGGAGGAGACTTTCCAGGAGCAGGACCGTTTCAAGCACCTTCTAAGGGAACGATGTGGGAGGGTGGGCGGCATGAGTTTTTGGAGCAGGTGATGCTGCTGTGTGTTGGAGATCAGGCGTTCGGAAAGGAGACTTCTGTCAGTTAGGGGAGTTTGTGAGCCTGAAAGAGGCACCTCTTGATCAGAGCATCACCTTTTCCTTCAATTTTGGGCCAACCTTCCAACTTTCAAGTGTCCCACCAAAACCCCGAAACCCGAACCCATGCAGTAGATACTGGAACCCTACAAAGGGAACACACAGCAACTGCCTTGGCACCCCAAGCACTCCCGTGAACCACCCGAAATTTCTCGGCCCTAAGCCCTAATGCCCTAAACCCTAAACCCTAAACCCTAAACCCTAAACCCCGCATTGCTGTGGCTAGTCGGGTGGCAAAAAAAGACCCTAAACCCTAAACCCTAAACCCTAAACTACCCTAAACCCTAAACCCTAAACCCTTGCCGGAACCTCAGCAGGAGGAGGAGGAGGAGGAGGAGGAGGAGCAATCTGCCTTGGCGCAGACCGCACGGGACTTCTTTCGGCCGTCGAACTCAGAGCCGGTGAAGACGAAAGTCGGGCTTCTTGGCCCTAAACCCTAAACCCTAAACCCTAAACCCTAAAGCGTGCTTGGGGCCGTTGAGAGGAGCTGGGGAGCCTAGGCCCCTGAACCGTAAGACCTTTGCAAACCCTCAAGCCCTCCAAGTCCTAAACCCCCTCAACCCCCTAAACCCTAAACCCTAAACCCTAAACCCCAAACCCTAAACCCTAAACCCTAAACCCTAAACCCTACTGAGGCAGCTCCCCAGCTTGAGCATCATTCACCACAGTACTGCCTGGAGGCCTGCGGCATGGAATGGCAGCAGTGAGTTAAGGGTGTAGGGGTTTAGGGTTTAGGGTTTAGGGTTTGGGGTTTAGGGTTTAGGGTTTAGGGCAAAAATGGGTTTAGGGTTCGGGTTTTAGGATGAAGGCAAAGGGTTGGGGCTTAGGACCGCCGACCCCCCAAAGACCCCCAAAAAAAGCACCTCACGTCGGGAGCCTCGGGTGTGGAAGGCTGGATTTAGTGCAGAGTTTCTGGTGAAGTTCGGGCCAATAAAATCTCTCTCAACAGACAACCCCAAGCCCTAAACTCCACGTTTCGATGCCTCCCATCAACCCTAAACCCTAAATTGACGCAGGAAGCTTCCCCGAAAGCTGGATGCTCTTGCAGATCCCATCCTCTTGGAGGCGCGTGGGGCCCCAACCAAGCAGCACTTGTTGAAGGGCTCTTTGCGCTTTTACTGTTGAGTGGGGAGTCGCTAGCGTAGGGATACCTAAACCTTGATCTCTCAAGAACAGAGGCGATCTGCTTTTTGTCCACAAGCTCAGCCACAAGAAACCACAAGCCCTTCCTGTGCACTGCTGAAGGCCCTCTGGTGCCCTCAGGCAATAAGACATGAAGTATATCCCCAAAAGGGCACCCCATATGTACACTCCCCAAAATTTTTAGGGAAGCCCAAATACACACACCAATAACCGCAACAGAAACCCTTCTTATAGTACCAACTCCGAAGGTATTAATTCGGCCCGTTGCATCAAGCGTTCTTGGCCCAGGTTACTGCCCAGGTTACTCTTGCATACGATCCTTGAACACCAAAGAGCTCTAGAAGTGGGATCATATACCCTATAGTACCAAACCCCCTATTGAAGGGTATATGAACCATAAACCCTTGCTAGGGTTCATTTGGGGATTTCCCGAAAATAGGGGTACCCCTCATATACAAATGCTATACTCCGTTTAAACCCCAAAAAGGGTACCCCTATTTTCGGAAACTCCCACATTTGGTCCCCAAGGATAAGAGGAGCAGGGTGTAGTTCGCTCCCCATTCACAACGAAGAGCCAGGCTTGGCGATGCACGCTTAAGAGTTTAGGGTCTAGGGTTTAGGGTTTAGGGCTTAAAATTGCCAACCTTCAACTCTCAGCTCCAATGTTGGCGGGGGGTCGGGCGAGGTGGGGGGGGGGGGGAGAGGTTTAGGGTTAGGGTTTTTTTGGTTTGGGGTTGAGGGTCTAGAGTTTAGGGTTGAAAGTTTCGTTTTTTCGTGCCTTCTTTCCTCACAGCTGACTATCTCCGGCTGCAGGTGGCAGAAGAGACGAGCAGGCCGAATGAGTCCGGTTTGGAGTTTTTTCTTGCTCCAAAGTATGGGGAGCACCTCAAGAGTTGGAGATGAGGTTCCCCTAGGTGGGGTTCAGAGTTTTGGACTGAGTGTTGGGCTCAGAGTAGAGAGAGCCTTTCAGTAGGCATTTCAACCGGAGCCTCATTACAACTTTTTGCTGACTATGTGCCACCATGTTATGTAAGCGTACCCGGCTGCTTCGGCCGAGTGCACAAAGCGTTTTCCTTTCGACATTCACCCTAAACCCTAAACCCTAAACCCTAAACCCTAAACCCTAATTTGACCCTGAACTGACGAGGACTTAGAATTGAAGATGAACTATCGGAGAGCTAAGGGTGGCAAAGATCCTGGCTAGTCCTCGTTTAGGGTTTAAGGTTTAGGGTTTAGGGTTTAGGGTTTAGGGTTTAGGGTTCGGAGATGTCGCAACCCTACCCTAAACACTGGAAGGAATGACAGGCGGCTCTTAAACGCTCGCACTCCTTGAGGGCTTCCTCAAGAAGGGGTCTTTGGGGTTTAGGGTTGAGACCTTACATCGGAGCTTTCTGGGAACATATGTATATCTACACATATGTATATATCTATCTATTTATATATCTATATATCTATATATATATATATATATCTATATATATATATATATCTATATATAATTTAGCATACCATACATATTTGCATACTAAAGCCACCCCACATTCCCATGCTAATCTACTCTGCAACAGAACCCGCAGGTTCTGCTCGGAGACCACCGTCTTGGCCTTGTGCGGCCCAGCCTTTCGCACTCGAACTGGACAGCGCTACCAGGAGAGGGGTTTAGGGTTTAGGGTTTAGGGTTTAGGGTTTAGGGTTTAGGGTTTAGGGTTTAGGGTTGTCAGGGCTTGGGGGCTTGAAGGGTTGCAGGCCTCTGGAGTTTAAGGGCTTAAGTGTGAGTGGAGGGTTTTTCGGGTGATGGAAGGTTCGAGCGCGCCCCGGTTTACGCCGATGATCGACTCCATGTAGTCTAGGACCCAGAGTAGGCCCTTATTCCCTTTGTATAGGGTTTAGATTTTACAGGCCCCTTTAATCTAAACCAAAAAGGGCACCCTTTTTGTTCCTAATTTTGGGTCTAGTAGTCCTTCTCTGCAGAGAAGGTTCCTCGAAAGCTAGAGCGACCCGCTGTGCATGAAGGTTGGGTTTTAAGCTTGTCTCCGGCACGTGTTGTGCCTCCACACTGGTATTGATAGGAGATTGTTCTTGGGATGTCCTCCCTTATACTAACAGTCGCTAATAGGGAGATAATAGTAGGGGGTGCTTTAATCCCAATTCAGGGCTGATCGTACAAGGGGGAACATCCCAAGATTGTTCACTTGTAGGGTTTATGGGTTCTCGGGTTTCGGGCAAAGGTAGGTAGGTTGCTTGGGAGCCTTTTGGAGGGCAGTAGGGAGGACAACTAGATCGCCCCTTTTGAAGCAGCCTCCGACCCCTTCAGCCTAAAGTCTAAAGCCTAAACCCTAAACCCTAAACCTTGAGGACTCTGTTAAACCTTGAAGCCCCGGAGAGGACTCCGTCCGATCTCTCGGGTTCAAGGTGGTAACGAACATGGGACGCCTGGAGTGGACTGCATTTTTGTACTTAGCAGTAGAGCAGATAACCTTTAGCCTTTTTGGGCTAATTCATTTTCCTTGTAATCCCAAAGGTTAACCTTTAAAACCCCTAGGTACTGGACATCTAAGTGTAGGTTTTCAGGGGTTATCTTGGTAGCCCAGTGGTAGCCTCCCTTGTAAAGGAACCTAAACCCTAAACCCTAAACCCTAAACCCTAAACCCTAAACCCTAAACCCTAAACCCTAAGCTCAAGGATGCCCTGGTTTTCATATGGTTGCTGGGCTACCACAGAGTCCCAGATGTCCAGATCCACAGACTTGTTTCTTACATGTGCTGTGCGGGCACCCCTTTTAAGGACCAACCAGAAACTACATTCCTGGCACCTTGAAAGAGGTGCCTCAGGGTATTTCGGGTTCTCCATGTATCGATTTGGCGGGCTTTGCCCTCAGCGCGCGTGAACGGGACAGGATCTTGCGCTGGTTCTAGACCGAACTAGGGTAAACCCTAGACCCTAAACCATAAACCAAAAAAGGGTGCCCCTACTTTCTGAAACCACCAGACCCAGGAAGCGTTTCCTCCTTGTACACCTGGGCCTCACTTTGCAGCTGCGCCGAGACACTTCGGTATTGACTTGGCAACACCTTCTTGGGGCGCTTTTGTTGCTGGCATTGGGGCCTTGGGGACGACAGGACCCTAAAAGGGTTTATGGCTCATGTATCCTTACTATGAAGTATAGTAGTCAGAGTTTAATGCCCCGATTTTAAGGTTCATTTCGTCCACAAGGGCTTGGGTGGGCATGTTAAGTGTGGCAGATTTCGGTAGGGTTATCTTAGGAAGTCTTACCATGGTTCTCTCTCTCTACTGCAGCAACATCCTTGCACACCTCTCCTCTGCCGTGGTAGACCCCCCCAAGGCCTACGGCAGAACAACCTCCTGGGAATTCTGCCAACCCCCACTTCAAGTTTCAGGGTACTTGTAAACCCAAGTTTTGCTGCACTTTTCAGCTCGTCCTCTGAGTCGGTTGTAAGTCTTAGAATTGGGGTTCTAAGTACCCATGAACCTCCTAAACCCTAAACCCTCAACCCTAAACCCGAAGTTGGGATTATAAAGTGCCCATGAGTCTCCAGCAGGCATCCCAGTGACCTCGTCCTTGTCTCCACCTGGGAGTGCGTGGGCAGCTGTGACTTGGCCCTACTTAGCCAATAGTTGAAATTGAAACTTTTGGGATTCCCTATTTTGTCGGAAGAGTGAAGTTTAACCTAACTTTTTGGGATTCCTTACTTAGTAGGAAGAGGCCTACTTAGCCAATAGTTGAACTTGAAACTTTTTGGGTTTCCTCGTTTAGTAGGAAGAATACAGAGCCAATAGTTGAGCTTGAAACTTTTGGGATTCCCTAGGTTCTTGGAGAAGTAAGTGGCTCTGAAGACTCACTCGGGTCTTGCGGCGTTGTATAGGCTCTTTATCGGGTTTATCACGATTTATACATGCGGATTTCTAGGGATTATAGGGATATACAGTGTTTTTATAGGGTTGAGAGGGTTTACACGGATTTATAGGGTTCTACGGGGTTCAGAGGGTTTATGGGGTTTGTGGGGTTTTTTTATCGGGCGCAGGGTTTAAGAACGCACGAATGTAGCTTCCAACGCGCTTCGCTACACCATGCTACACCCACGCGAGGACGTCGCAGTTGCCTCCAGCCTGAGACCCCTGAAAGAATGGGGGGTTTTGGGTTTAGGGCCAGTTTAGGGTATACGAAAATGTGGGAACCCTAAATTAACCTCCAAATAGTAGGATTCCCTTATTATACGGTCCCCGAATTTCGTAAACCCCCATATACACACCACATAAAACCTTCGGAACCTACAAGCTCTAGAGTTCACTTGGGAAAACAGACCCTCAACCTCAAATAGCAAGGTCTCGGACTCCTCCGTCAGACGGGCGCCCTCGCACTGCTTCGCGGGCTCCTGGTCTTGTGCAGCCACCATGACCAGGAGCCAGGGTTGAGGGCTTTAGGGTGCAGGGTTTAGGGTTTAGGGTTTAGGGTTTAGGGTTTAGGGTTGAAGGCTTAGGATTCACTAGGCTCACGCAACTACCGGGCCTTAGCTGCTCTAAACCCCCTCTCGAAGCTCTATGTGTTTCTACGGCTCAGGTGGCGAAGATGTTTCGTGCCTTAGGATCGCAGTTCTGGTCTCTTTGCCAACGTCTAAGCCGTAATCCTGATCCTGAAGCCATAAATCAGGGTTTAGGGTTTAGGGTTTAGGGTTTAGGAAAAAATCTCAAGCCCCAGGACCAGGCACAGGCTGCGGCAAAGGAGGCCCTGCCTCCCTGCCGTTGGCGGGTCATTCCCTCCTTGGCTTTTGGCTGAAGACAACAACCCAGAGACTCCAAAACCCTTTAATTAAGGAACATACCTTAAATCATATTGTTAAATCATATTGGGGTTCCTACTATAATTTAGGGATATCCCTTAATTAAGGGGTTTTGGAGTCTCTGGGAAGTGCAGAGTCTGAGAGCGGGATTGCGGGTTTAGTCGAGAAGTGTCCACGTTGAAGTGTGCTGGCGCCGACTTCAGTCCATGCGTCAGAAAAGCGATGGGGCTTAAGTTAAGTTCCATGTCACTTAGAACTCAGAAGGGTTTGAACAGGTCCTGCGGACTCACTGTACACTTCTGTGTGCGAGTGTTGAGGCAATCTACCTCAAGTGCTCAGCTGGCTTGTACTCCATGTTGTTTTTTGGGGGGCGCCCCAAAATCTGGGGTGGCCTCAACTGAAACGCTTCGAGAAAACTTGCAGCGGCGAAAAGGCTCACACCCTAAACCCTAAACCCCATAGACCCTAAACGGGCATGTCGGGTCTTTTCAAGGCTTTATATATATATATATATATGGTTTTGGGGTGTAGGGTTCAGGCTTGTTACTTGCTGCCATGCATGTCTGTAGTCCTTGTCACGCCGCGAAGCTTCAATACAGGAGCCGGCTTAATTACACAACACTCATAGGGGTTTGATTGTTGTCATCCTGAAAGAGGCAAATGCACTACTGTGCCCAATTAAAAGTGCACATCTATATAAGGGCCCAAAAAACCACATAAACATAAGGATCCTACTATTGGGGTATAAGGGCCCCGAGAAAGGGGGATTCCTATGTCTATCTTCGGCACCGAGTCATGGCGAGCATCTTGCCAGTCGAGGGATGCTGTGAAATGGTGCAGCTTTCTCGAAGCAGCATAAGACGCTGAAGGCTGCCCAAACAAGCTCCCTAAACCCTAAACCCTAAAACCTAAACCCTAAACCCTAAACCCCAAACCCTAAAACCCAAGCCCGAAACCCCCAGATCCTCAGCTCTTCGCGGAGCCCCCAAACTTTAAAGACGCAACCTAAACCCCTGTTGCTCAGCTCGGCATGTGGCAAGAAAAAACAGCGCTTAATCCTGAACCACCTTTAAAACCTTCGAAGCCGAACCCGCCCCCCCCCCCCCCCCCCCCTCTGAACCCCGAACCCTAAACTCTAAACCCTGAAGCCTGAACCCTAAACCCCTAGACCCTAGACCCTAGACCCCAAACCCAGACTTCAGGTTTGGGCATCGCCGTTTCGTGCTTCGTTGAGGCCCGGCTTTTTGCGCTGCCCGGGCCTTGGAACTCTCCGGTGCCGCACCTCCACCCTCAGGGTTTCGGGGTTTAGGATTTATAGGGTTTAGGGTTTAGGGTTTAGGGTTTAGGGTTTAGGGTTTAGTGTGTCCTGAAAACCACATGAACCCCCAAGTTGGGTTCATTTGGTCTTCAAGGTTAAGGGTCTCGGATATCTCGCGTTGCTTCCCGCTTTCAGTTTGAGATATGCGCATAGCCATGGACAGACGAGGGGGGCGGCGGGGGGGGGGGGGAGTAGAGTCCAGAACAAGCAACCCTAAACCCTAACTCCCCATAAGCCCTAATCACCCCAAACTCTAAACCCTAAACCCTAAACCCTAAACCCTAAGTGCCTCTCAGCTTTCCAGGTCCAATGCCCGGATAGGAGCCAAGTACGCGGTCGGGGGAGCTTGCAGATGGCTTCAGAGGCGCAGAGTTTCGGGGTTGGGGCTTTTGGGGGTGGGGTTTGGGGTTTAGGGTTTAGGGCTTAGGGCTTAGGGCTTAGGGTTTAGGGACCAGGTTCGGGGTGCACAAAGTTTGAGATTGTTGTGGCACACCGGTCGTGGATAATTGCAGGCGGGGAAGGCTCGTTCTAACCCGAGTGGACTTTGAGCTTACTGGTGGCAGGTCGGGATGTAGAATGGCATGCATGCGCTATCCCAAGAGCCCTAAGTCTTAAACCCCATAAACCCTAAGCCCTTATAAGTCCTAAACCCAAAATCCCAAACCCGAAACCCAAAGCCCCACCACCTAGGAGGGGTAACGGGTTGTTGGCGATTCCCGGCTTTTCCTGGCTGGGGCCAGAACTGCTCTGAAACAACGTCTCGAAGGCGAAAGCACTACTTGCTAGCCAAAGGTACCCTTTACGTTTTTCGTGCGTTCGTTTTAGGGTTTCGGGTTTCGGGTTCAGGGTTCCCTAATAAGCCCAGATGCAAAAGGGTTCCCTAATAAAGTAAGCAACCCCAAAGAGGGTGCCCTCATAACATGGCTCCTGGGCTACCAAGTGCAGAGCTTCTGAACACGCAGCAAGCATGTTCCTGAAAAGTGGTGCGGCAACTGCAAAACGCAAAAGAACAACCCTAAACTAGACCCGGCAGCAGTTACCCTACACCCTAAACCCTCAAACCCTATAAACCCTAAGCCCTAAACCCTATAAACCCTAAACCCTAAACCCTGACCCCTAAACCCTAGCAGCCTGAACCTCAACCGTAGGTGGGCTCTTGGGATGTTTGATGTTTCTTACCTGATTGGGTTCCGAGGGGCATCTTCATGGAACACTTCCTCCGTGAAGGACCCACGACTAGGGGTTTCTAGGGTTTAGGGTTTAGGATTTAGGATTTAGGGTTTAGGGTTTAGGGTTTAGGGCTACAACCCCACACCTCAACTTCCGAGGCAGAATTATCTCAGCAGCGAAGCTGGATCCTCTCCTCTCAAGGTGCCGAGACCCGAGGGATCTGGTCCTAGGGTCCAACCCTAAACCCTAAACCCTAAACCCTAAACCCTAAACCCTAAACCCTAAACCCTAAACCCTAAACCCTAAAGGCATCGTGAAGCTGGAGGGTGAAGACGACACTCTTCTTCGTAGGGAATGAGGGAATGAGGTACCCTACATGATCCCTTAAAGCTATATCTAGGGCCCTGTTTAATTCCCTCATCCCCTACTAAGAACCAGGGGGGCGATGCTAGAAATCAAGAACCCCACAGTAATATTATGGAGTTAGCCGATCAGAGTCCTTACTTATTTAGCACCCCAAACCCTAACCTGACCCTAAACCCGAAACCGAATTGCACAGGGACACTACGCACTTCGGACCCTCTGGGTAAGACTGGCTGCCTCTTAGTAGGGAGTGAGGGAAGGAGGTACCTTATATAACCCCTTAAAGGGTATATGTATATATATATATATACATACATATGTATAATTATATATATGTGCATATATATATATATACATAAGGCCCTAATTCCCCTCATCAGGGGGAAGACTTCCGTAGAGCGGCCAGGTGCCAGTGGAGTACGCTTTGTGCATGGCAGGCCGGGCGCAGTTCGAGTTGGGCATGAGATGGGGGATCCCCCTACTCTTACCCGACTTAGAATCAGAACCCTAAACCCTAAACCCTAAACCCTAAACCCTAAACCCTAAACCCTAAACCCTAAACCCTAAACCCTAAACCCTAAACAAAGATAAAGGTAACCGGAACGGCCTTCAGAAAGGCCCCAAGAGCACGCTGGAATCCAGTGAAGCGACTTGGGCTGCTGGACTGGACGGAGTGGTGTGACTTCCGGGATAAACTGCAGCACTTCTTGGGTAGCCCAGTGATGCCCTTTTGTTTTTTTGGTTATGGGTTCCCTTATAAAGTAACCAACCCAAAACAAGGGTGCGATGATCATACTATGGTTACTGGGCTACCAAGACTGTTGGGCACGGTGACTTCTGAGAGTGCACTACTTGGCCTACAACTCAATACCCTGCAATAGGGCTCATTACTTTGTGGTACTTTACTGTAACTTTAGATCCTTACCTTTTTTGGGTTTAGTGGGTTTCTTATTAAGGCAGCTAAAAGTTTATTAGGATACCCAGGGAGCCTCCAGCTGACCTAAACCCGAAACCTTGTAGATCATTTCAGATGGGTGGTGTCAGAATCATGGTCCCTTTTTCTATCCCTATTTTAATACGGCACCCAATATTTAGGGTACCCCAAAAGGGATCAGAATTCTGACAACCACCCCGATAGGTCTCTACTGGCAGTTCCTACGTGGCCGCAGTGGCTGGCAGCGAGTGCTGGCTTTCCTTTGGGGATCCTTGACCGCATCCGCGTTTGCGTGGTTGGCCTAGGGGGATGATCTGGTGTTTGATATGCCGGTCAGCTGTCTGGTGTCACCTAAACCCTAAACCCTAAACCCTAAACCCTAAACCCTAAACCCTAAACCCTAAACCCTAAACCCTAAACCCTAAACCCTAAACCCTAAACCCTGGCTGGTTTTTTGTTTCACTGATGGCGGCTGCTGAGAGGGGGGATATCGGTCTGGCATTCTTCGGCACTGTCTACCTTAGCAACCCCCTAAACCCAGCAACCCTAAACTCTTTTTTGCAGGTTACCTACCAAGAATCTGGGTAAGGGCGACCGGTTACTCCGGTTCTTTCCCTGATTTTCGACAAGCCAAGAAAGGCACCATGCTCTCCTTTTTTCAAAGAAGGACAACCTGCAAAACCGTCTTCCCTAAACCTTAAACCCTTAAGCCCTAAACCAAGAACCCAAAAACAGCAATCATTGAGGCGGCTATGGTTTGAGCTGGACGTCCGCACTGCTCCTAGGCCACCAGGGGGGGCGGGGCGGGGGGGGGGGGGGCGTGGCGGCCCCACAGGCTTTTCAGGGTTGAGGGGTTTAACAGGTTTTCGGGATTCAAGGCAGAAGGGTTAGGGATTTAGGATGTTGAGGGGAGGGGATTTCAAGGCGTTTGGAAAGGTCTTGGGGTTTTGTGGGGTTTTGCAGGTTGAGGGTTCCAGGGCTGCGTGGACCAGTGAGGACAGGGTCGACTGTTTGCTTGGAGCACGTGGTGTCGTGTTGTGACTAACAAACGATCGTTCTCTCTCCTCGCCTCATGCATGTCTATACGCTGCCAGCCTTTGTCAATGCCTCTTGAAAACTACATGCAAACCCTAAACCCTAAACCCCAAACCCTAAACCCTAAACCCTAACCAGGCTTGCCACTACTTCAAGAGTCCTGGCTTCGGGTTGCT